CGCTGGCGCCTCCACCGGCCCCCGGGGGGCAACGGGAGCAGAGCGCGACAGGCGCGCCCAGCGCGTACCTGGTGGCAGCCGCCCTCCGTCAGGCCGGCTGGGCTCGCTTCACGGCGACGGACCTGCCCGACAACCAGGTGCTCCTGCGCTGGGGCCCCTGAGCCCAGGCCGGGAGCTTCGAGGGGTCGCGGCAGTGGAGCTGGACAGGGGAGAGCACCCAATCGAGTCGGAGTACGGAGCCGATTGGGCGGTGCACACCCCGGACTCGCGGTCGGCTTGGGCCGACCTGCTCGAGGACGCAGCTGGCGGTGAGGGCTCCGAGGGCGGCCACGCGGTGGCGACGCCGCCCCGGGCCGCTAGGCGGGCAGGGCGCCGCGGCGAGCGGGCGGCCGACAGGACCCGCGCGGCGGTGAAGCCGCTCCCGGCCCTCCCTGCTGCGGCAGGCCTGGGCGACGGTCTGGAGGCGGACGGATCGCCTCGCGCAGCCGCCCATGCCGGCGCGGCGGACGCGCCGGTTCTGGCCCCCTCGCCCGAGCGGGAGGGCGACGGTCTGGAGGCCGACGGCATCGGCAGGGACGAGTTCCTGCAGGCGCTGCGCTTCTGCCTGGACAACTCGGGCTGGGTGGCGGCGCGCGCGCTCGCGCCGGCGCTCCACGTGAAGCTCCGCGGATGTGGATTCCGCGAGGCGCGAGCCCGGATCCTGGAGGCGTGCGACGGCATCCCTGACGCGCGGGGGCGCCGGCGGGCAGCCGAGCGCGTCCTGGGTCGGCGCCTGGGGCGGGCCAGGGAGCCCTGAGCCCCGCGCCGCCGGCCAGGCCCGCCGGTCTCGCGGCTGGCACTGCCTGTGCCCAGCCAGCTGAGCAGGGGCGAGCTCGGGGAGCTCGTGGGCCTGCGGACGCCCGGCGCTGAGAGCGGTACTCCGCGAAGCCGGGGTGCCAGGTGGCGGCCGCGGCCGTGCCTGTCTGCGCTGCTTGCTGCTGCTGCTGCTTCTCGTCTTGTTCTTCCCCCCCCCTGCTGCTTTCCTCTCCTCTCCTAAGCCACGGGGCGCCCACTCGAGCTGGTAAAAAAAAGTGATCTACGCCCCCCAGCGCCCTCTCCCCCCCCTCATGGCTGGGTGTGATCCACGCGTCCAGCGCCCCACCTCCCCCTTCGTGCCTGAAGTGCGCCCTCGGCAGGCGTGCGCAAGATCTCGCCTCGAGGAGCCAAACGGCTTGAGCCAAAAAACGAGGCCGGGGTTCGACTCGCATCAAGGAGGGAGGCCTCAGGTAATCTCACAGAGGGTTGGACTCTTGGAAATTCAATGGGGCTGGTGGGGGCTTCGGGGTCCGAGTGCGTCTCGTCTTGTGAGAGGACAGAACTGATACACAACCACCGCCGGGAGCGCCGATGTTCCAGGACCCTAGGGGCAGTGGGTGTGAATCCCACCAGCTCCCTGGGCATGAGTAGGGCGTTCCCTCTTTCAACCCCCTTACTTCCTTCGAGGATGGTTTCTTTACTGTTACCCATTGAAAACCCTTCGCCAAGCCTTCGCCTTCGAGTCTGCAGCATGCGCGGGCGCCCCGTGGCCACTTCGCATGCGCTTTTGCACAGGACCGCGGGGGGGGGCGCATATATTGCTTGCTGCGCGCAGGCCAAGCAATCCCTGCCAACCTGCGATGCGAGATGCACCTGCTGCTTCCGAATCTGAAGCATGCGCGGGCGCCCCGCGACCACTCTGTATTGGCTCTCGACGAGGGTCCTCGGGGTCGACGCCTGTGCTGAGAGGGCGGGAGGGAGTGCGATGGGGAGGAAAAGGGGGAGGGGCGAGTGGAGGGGAGCGAGAGGGCCACTGGAGGAGACAGGAGGAGGGGAAGATAGGATGGGCGCATGAAGGAGGGAGTGGAAGAGGAGGAGGGGCAGTGAGGAGGGGGGGGGGGAGACGGGGAGGGAGGGGGACAGGATGGGAGAAGTCACGAGGTACAGTCAACCCGCAGAGTAAGGATGCGCGATAAGGATGCAAGGGCCTTGGAAGCCCATCTCGAAGCGTTTCGAGGGGGCGCGGCCAACGAGAGTGTCCAAGGATGGACCCAGGAAGCAAGGATGCAAGGGCACCCTTGGGAGGGATGCCTATCCTTACTCTTCGGGTCAACTGCAGGAGGGATGATGCAGGAGGAGGGTGGAGGAGAGGAAGGGAGGTGGGAGGAGAGGGAGAGGGGCTGGGGGCGCTGGGGGAGACGGGAAGGAGGTGGAGGGTCTAAGAGAGGGGGAGGGGGGGGGGAGGAAGAGGAAGGAGGAGAGGAGGACGGACGACGGGGGGAGGTAACGTTAGGTCGGGCATGTCCCCCTGCAGGCGGATTTTGGACGAAAATTGAAGCATAGTCACAAGTACCCAAAAAACAAGTCATCCACAAAATAATAGACACATCGTCCAGAGACTCTATTGCTTGACTATGTTTGAATATTCCCACTGTAGAGGGACAGGCCCGACTTCAGTCTAAGAGAGAGGGGGGGGAGAAAGAGGAAGGAGGAGAGGAGGACGGACGAAGGGGGGAGATAATTAACGAGACGAGAGGATGGTCGGGCGGTCGTGGGCGCCTACAGCTTGGCACTCGCCAGGCCCAGCCTGGAACCCCTCCAAACATGAGGTCGGGCATGTCCTCCTACAGGCGGATTTTGGGCGAAAAATGAAAGATAGCCAATATACATACCTCAAACTAGCCAAAACATGATACAACAAAATCGTCCCAGGACTGTCTGTTGACTATTTTAAGAATATCCCTCCTGTAGAGGGACAGGCCCGACTTAATCCAAGGTCTGTACCTCGGCCTCGGCCAGGACACGAACAGAGCAGGCACGAACGCCTCAGGGACCCGGAGAGCCTGCGAGTCCAGAGGATGCATCGGGCGCCGCAGCCCGTCTAGAGCTCGGCAGCCCTCGCGCCTTCTGAGAAGTGTTCTGTTTTCGAGGAAGGCTCAGGAAACTTCTCAGGAGGCCCAGGGCCTGCCGAGCCTTCCGACGAGGCCCGCCCCGTCTCACTCCCACCCCCGGGCTCGCCGCCGGAGAACGCTTTGGAATGCACTGAGACCCTCTGGGAACAAGCCCGAACCCTGGGGCTGCCAGTCGACCCCCGCCCCGTGATGATGGTTGGACGGTCACCACAGACGCACGTAGACCTACACACGCTACGTCTCTAACCACCTCCTGGCAAAGCTGAGTTTAGGTTGGGCATGTCGCCCTACAGGCGGATTTTGGAGAACGAATTATAAGTAGCCGACAAAGACTCAAACATAGTTTAAGAACATTAGAAGCATCGCCCCCTGGTCATTTTTTGACTATGTTTGAATTTCCTTTACGTAGAGTGACGCGCTCGACTTAAAACTGTGATGCTTGTGCCTGGTGCCCTGGTTGTTCAATAACTTCCCTTCAGCACAAATGTGCCGAAATGTCTGCAATACCAAATCGGCGCAATCGAACATCATCCGTGGAGAATGAGTCAACGCTGGCTTCGGGAATCTTCTGACCCGGGTCAATCCAGACCCGGGTCAGTCAGGCCTTGCAAAATCCTGCAAGATCCTGCAAGACCCTGCACCCAAACCCGGGTCGATGCGAAGGATCCCGCAAGATCCTGCAGGACCCTGCGCCCAAACCCGGGCCAATGGAAGCCTAGCCAAGCAGGATCCTGCAAGATCTGGCGCTCTGGCTGACCCCCGTTTGCATGGACCCCCGTCTCAAGGCTCCCGATGGCTGTGAGTAGGGGGACAAAAAGTGGCATGAACATAAAAACTCGGAGGTCCACGCGGATTTCTCGGATCGGCGCTGGACCCCCCTCCCTGGCGCGCGGAGCGCGCCAAGGGCGGCGCTAGAGGCGCCGCCGGGGGGCCCCAGCGCCGATCCGAGAAATCCGCGCGGACCTCAGAGTTTTTAATGTTTATGTCACTTTTTGTTCCCCTAATGCATGGACCCCCGTCTCGAGGCTCCCGATGGCTGTGAGAGCAGTGCTCCTTGCAGACGCCGGCACGCTCCGCAGATCGAGCCGACTCGTACCTGCCGTGCACGTGTCGAACCCGTGCGCGCTTCCTCCTGCCTCCGGCCGCCTCGTGCAGGTGCGACCAGGCCCAGGGCAACACAACTGAAGGGGCCCTGGGACACACACACACACACACACACACACACACATAGACACACACACACACACAAATAACAGGACTCCCAATGTTTTCCCAGATTTTCTGGGTGTCTTCCCCACACTTCCCATATTTTCCTGGGCATCGACGATTCATTGTGTCTGTGTGTTGTCCCCTTCTGAATCACACTAATCAAGAACACGCGACCCTCCGCTGGCCAACCTGAAGAAGAGTCAAGGGTGCCCTCCCCTAAGAATGCGCAAGAAGATCCAGCAACAGCGAAGAACATCAGGGTACCCTCCCCGAATCGACCGCGATCTTAGCGTCTGTTTGCAGTAGTGCGTCCTGTGGGGGAGACTCCACCTGCTCGAAACAGGCGCCAACTGACAGCCAAGATCTGCTCCATAGGGCATTAGGGGGGGGGGAAAGGGGTTGCGAGGGCCCGCGCCGATCGGCGAAACAAGTAATAAAAAGCGGTCATCTCCGCGAGGGCCCCGGCCACGACCCAGGGCGGGGCCCCATCAACAACGCTCATCCTCATTGTGCCGCCAGGCCCCGGATCTGAGGCCCCTCGGGGGGGTCTTCAGAAACGCGCCTCCGCGGCGGTCCGCGCAGGGTCTCTGGAGGCCTCGGTAGTCCCTGCACGACCCCTGGACGCCTCCAGGTGCTGCCAGAGGCCCCGAGAGGGCTAGACATGGCTAGAATGCATTGCGCGCGAAAATCCAGCAATACCGGAATGTGTTGCACGCGCCAGAGCTATTGCAACACACATCGATTGCACCAAATCTATTGCACCACCCCCTTTCGGCTGGACCCCCTCTGGGGTCAACCAGAAAACGGCCGCGGTCCCGCAGGCAGCGGGGGGGAGGTCATCCGTCCGGCTGGGGCCGCCCGCGCCTAGGAGGCAGTCCTCGTGGTAGAGGTGCCTCGCCGCAGCGGAGGCTGGCGGCGCGTAGGAGGAGTGGTGAGGCGGGGGGGCATACAGTGGAGGCCAGTCCACAAGAAACCGTCCACGAAAAACCCAACCCTGAGACCCCAGGACGTCCATGGATATTTGATGTGGGAAGGTCAGGCTTTCTATCGAAAAACCATCGAAACCCAAGAAACCTAGGGCACCCTAGAGGCTAGCAGGGTGGGCCTCCACTGTAGCCTGCTGAGAACACAGCTTGCAGACTTCTGAGAGGGCTTCGCATAGAGAGCCGAAACAAAAGCACCCTGATGATCAGCACCCCGACGAGTGAAGCCGCTTAGTAAGCGTACCCGAGGAAGGAATCGAGCAGGGCAGGGCAGTCTAGTAAACGACGCCCAGGGCCGTTCGGTAAACGCCGATGAGGGGGGTCGGGGTGGTGTCTCCTCCCTTGACTTTAGGAGGTACGAGGACTTCTGAGAAGCCCGCGCTCAGGAGAGCCCCACATCCCTCGCCGTACCACCGCCTGAACGCTGCCGAGGCGACCGCGCGGGCTGGCGGGAGGAGAAGACCAGAGAGCGCTGGCGGATCGGGGGAGTGGCACGGGAGCAGAGCAGACCTGGAGGGACGACGCGTGCCTCCCTCCTTCCCTCGGGGAACACAGGATGGCATAAAAGTATATAAACTTTTGGAGGTCCGCGGGGATTTCTTGGATCGGCGCTGGACCCCCCTAACTACATTTAAGTCGGGCGTGTCCCCCCACAGGGGGGTTTTCGATGAAAAATAAAAAAGCTCAAAAAATATTCCGAAATGACCAAACAAATACTAAAAAAAATAGTCTCTGGACTATTTTTTGACTATTCTTGAATATTCCTCCTGTAGAGGGACGGGCCCGACTTAAAACTACCTGGCTACATGCGAGGCCCCCCGCACAACTCGACCCCCTCCCGCGGACCAGTGCTTCGCCCCGGGTCGCCCGCTGACGACCCCGCTGCCCGAAGCATGGCCCCCCAGAGGCCGGCAGCGAAGCGAGAGAGAGAGAGGTGCTGGCGTTGTTGAGGCCTCGACTCCAGAGGTCCGGGAGGGAGGTCCCTGGAGTTAGAAGGGCATGAAGGGCCATTGGTCCAACGGTCACGTGAGAGCGGCCCTGGCTGCGTCCATCGCGAGGGCCCTTCCAGGGCTGGAATTAAACGTCGGTTTTCGTTGTGTGTTCGTTTTGTGATTCGTTCTGCTATGCTTGGTCTCGTATACCTCCCTGCCAGAACGAAACACACCACACAGCCGAAGTCTAGCAAAACAGCGTCAGGTCCAGCCCTGCGTGCGAGCGGCCCTGGCTGCGGCCACCGCGAGGGTCCTTCTGGGTCGTCTTGGGAGCCTCTCGGGGCTGCATTGGACTGCCTCGCCCTCCTCCTGTAGGGAGACACGCCCTACTTGAGTATTCCTCCTGTAAGCATTGACTATTTGACTATTTTGGAATGTTTCGGAGCACTGACAATTTTTGAAGAAAAAAATTCTCTCTGTGAACAGTTTGGAATCTTGTATTTTTGAATATGCTGAAAGCGCCTCCCTTTTGACTATTTCTGAATACTCCTCCTGTAGAGGGACACGCTCTACTTAGGGCTGCAGTGGACCGTCTCGTCCCTGACCAGCCACAACTGGGGGAGCTGCGGTCCTTGCCCCCCTGGGGGAACCCATCGCGTCGACGATCTCTCGAGAGGGGTGTCGAAATCGATGGGCCCCCCAGGGGTAAGGACCACAGCTCCCCCGGGTGTGGCCGGCCTGCGTCCTCCTCCTCCCAGGCACGGCCGCTGGAGGTGGACTTCGAGCGGGCGGCCGCCCTCCGCCCTTCGCCCACCGCGCGGCACCACCACCAGGACCGCCCCCAGCCTGCCTCGCAGAGCTCGACTTAGGTCGGGCATGCCCTCTTACAGGACAATTTTGGACTAGGAATCAAACATGCAAAACACATGCTCATACATATATATATATATGTATATATGTATACATATATATACACATATAATGCTAAAGCAATCGTCCCCATACTATTTTTGGACTAACGTTGAATATACCTCCTGTAGAGGGACAGGCCCGACTTAAGGCTCCACCAAGACAGTGCTTCTCGCGTTCGTTGTGCTTTAGTTGTCCCTCGTCTTGTCTTCGTTCCGCCTTCGCTGCAAAGTCAAATCAACACGAAAACGGCCCACGGAATCGCCAAAACACCGTCCAGGGCCAACGCGGTAAGTACGGTGCACACACGTCCGGGGTCCCAAAACGGTGTGGTGACGGACCGCATGGTGGCCTCGGAATCTCCAACGACCTCACCGCGCGGTCCATCACCACACGGTTTTGGGACCCTGGAGGCCCCAGTCGCTCGAGACATCCTCGGGGAACTACTCAAGAGAGTTCAACAGCTCATGGAGATCCCGAAACAAAACTGACTCACCACCCTGTGTGGCCACCACACCGTTTGGGGGCCCCCGAACATGTCGTCCACGGATCTTTCCTCCTGGGGAGGGCTCGGGAGCGGCTAAATCGAGACGGAAGAAACCCAAACCGAGGCCGAGCAGTCCGTTCGGACTTACGACCTGCCATCCTATTGGGAGAGGCCGAGTTTAACCCAGACGGAGACCGAACACTCCGTACGGACTTACTCCGTAAGGACTTCGTGCCCTCCGATCGGGCTTTACTTAACGAATGGGAGGGCGATCCATGGGGGGGAGATGCGCGCACGTCTCGTGCCCTCTTGGGGCCCCAGAGGGGTGCACTTCAGGGTCCCTTTGTGGCGCAAGAGGTGCACCCTTCTTCGCCACCCGATTCCTCGACGCCCGATCCGATCGGGGATCCTCTGACCCGGGTCAATTCAGACCCGGGTCACCCAAGCTCTGCACCCAAACCTGGGTCAGCGCGCCCCTGGCACTGCACCATCATTTAAGATCTGGCGCTCCGGCTGACCCCCGTTTGCACTGACCCCCGCCTCTCGAGCACCGACGATCTGGGACCCGACCTGCTCCGGCCCCACTCACGTGCCGATCCTCGGAGTGCGTGTGAGCGCCCACGCGCGTGTTGTCAGCCGAAGAGCCCTTCGATACGACACGGTCGGTGTAAAACGAGGACCGACGCCGACTGCGTCCTGTCGGCGGAGCTGTCATTGCACTGGCCTTGCAGACGTGCTGCAGCGGAACTCTGCGTGGCCATCTCCCAGTGCACGCCGAAATTGCGAGCGAAAAACGACGTGAATTTCACGTGGATGTTTTGTAGTCGTCATTCCTGGCCCAAAGAATCTACGCGAAATTCACTTCGAAATCCGGAGCGAAATTCTGCAGGACTATCCAGGCCCATCCCAGTGTTGTCCGAACGCTAGGGCTCCCAACTTCGCGCTTCGCCCTCCGCGAAGCGCGAATAACTTCGCGCCATCGCGCCGCCCCCCCAAAGGGAGAAAGGGAGGACGAGGAGGAGGGGGAGAAGGAACGAGGACCGCGAAGCGCGAATAACTTCGCGCCCACGTGGGAGCCCTTGGAACGGCATGCTCTGCGGTGTTGGCGCCAGGAGAGCTGGGCCCCGAAGGCGGCGACACGGACGGTCGCCAGGACGGGCGGCGGCGGGCGGAGAGAGCGGGGGGCGCCCGCACGGCAAGGACCGCCAGGAACCCCCCGCGTCCAGGCAGATGGCGCACTCCGCGCCGTCCTCTGCGGCGCTTTTCGCCGTCGTCGTCGTCGTCCTCCTCCTCGTCGTCCGCGTCCTCGTCGTCGTCGTCCTCGTCCTCGTCCTCGTCCTCGTCCTCGTTTTCCTCCTCCTCCTCGTCCTCCTCGTCCTCCTCGTCCTCGTCCTCCTCGTCCTCGTCCTCCTCCTCCTCCTCCTCCTCCTCCTCCTCCTCCTCCTCCTCCTCCTCCTCCTCCTCCTCCTCCGCGGCCCCCGAACGCGCCGCCCCGCCGCGGCCGCGGCGCGGCCGCAGCGGCGGCGGCGCCGCCGCTCGGGCGCGGCACACGCGCGCGCGCGAGCGCGGGCTAGAGTTGTATCCACGTCCGGTACGTCGTGGACTTTCTCCGAGGGGGCGCCGCAAGGGGCAGGCGCATTGGGTATGGATAGGAATCGAGCCTCTATAGGGGGCAAAGTCAGCCTCGGGCTTCTGGGCAAAGGAGCCCGAAACTCCATCATTACGGCAGTGGGTATGGACAGAAGTATTGCCCGCAGCGTGTGCCGTCGGGGGCGGCCAAGAGTCGAAGGTGCCACCATGATTTCCAAGAAGGCCCCCACGGCCTCCAGAGCATCCCTCACGAGGCCCAAAAGGGCCCCAGGGCCCCAAAAAGGAGCGGAGGGTACCTTGGGCCAGGGGTACCTCCAGCATTCCCCGAAAGAGGAGGGCGTCCGAGAAGGGGGGCGCAAATCAGGGCCCAGGGCACGTGCGCGGCCCATGAGGGGCCAAGGGACGTCTTAACACAACAGATAGAGGCCATGAAATCCGGGGAGATCTCATGGCCCCCGCCATGATATCCCCCCTCCCTAACCATACCCCCCTATTGCCTGCACGCGACAGTGTCAAGACGAAGCCAGGACTGTGACAAATCAGAGATCTCTGGGATCATGCGGCTTTGGAGGATGAGTCGGGGGCGCCAAAGCGCTCCAGATCGCCCTGAGAACATTCCGGAACGCTCTGGAGCGATTCGTCCTGGACCCAGACCCATACGACGAGTGTGTGTGTGTGTGTGTGTCTGTCTGTCTGTATGTCTGTCTGTCTGTCTGTCTATATGTCTAGAAGCTTGCCTGATGATTGACCAAATCGCTTGATGAGAGACAACCGCTTTTGCAACACTGAATACAGTATTATCGACACAGCGCAACAAAGTACAAGCAAGGGAACGGAATATGGGGAATGTGACAGCGAGTACAACTTGTCGAAACACTGCAACAAGGGCACGAGCATCTTTGAATTATGTGCGACCCCCACGGGCCGAGTGCACCCATTACGGTGGGGTGTCTCTTGCCCGGGGACGCGCCTGCCTTAACCGCTGCAGGCACCCGTGGACCGTTCCGTCTCCAGCGTGACGCGGGGCAGGCCGACGTTGACACGAACGACACCTTTGTTCCCGACGTATGGAAAACACCACGTGTAAAGCGCTCGGTGAGCTTCCTCTTGACACTGTGTCTGGCGTCGACCGCGGTAACTGTATTTGCCAGAAGACGTCGAGCCAGGCTACTAAACCCTGACTATCTGGCCTTCACAAAAGGGAGGAAACGACTGCCCCCTCTTCCGTGACATCGTCGGCACCTGGCGGCTTGGCCGCAGGCGCCCCCTTGTTCCTTGAATGTCCGACCCCCCGCCCCCGTGACCAGCGCACTGACTGGAGCACAGGACGGCGGAGCCGACTTCGTATCCCGGTTCTCGGGCACCACGATCAGAGCGCACGTGCGAAGCCCCCTCTTCGGTAAAACGACTGCTGCTACTACTCTGGCCGATGGGAAAAATGCTGCACCGCCGAAGACGAGCTATTGGAAAGACTTTCGGCTGATAGCCAGAAATTTGCCTGATGATTGACCAAATCGCTTGATGAGAGACAACCGCCTTGGCAACGCTGAATACAGCATTATCGAAACAGCGCAACAAAGTACAAGCAAGTGAACGGAATATGGAGAATGCGACAGCGAATACAACTTGTCGAAACACTGTAACAAGGGCACAAGCATCTTTGAATTATGTGCCCACCCCCACGGGCCGAGTGCACCCATTACGGCGGGGCGTCTCTTGCCCGAGTCTTTCTTCTGAGAATCGGGGTAAGATGACAAAGGAATTAAGATCTCATGTTCACTCTGCTCAGGGAGAGCAGAGACGGGATGAGACATTGACAAGACAAGTATCCGTTAAGCAAGACTACTCTATCAGGAATGTGAAGGGAGGAGGTCGGCCGAGGACGGACGACGACGAGCCGCCCGCGCACCCCAGCGCGCTCCTTTTCTCTCCTGCCAGCCGAGGTCGGCCGGCTCGAGCAGTCGCATGGCTGCGGAAACGCAGCTTCAGTTCATGCGGACAGTGCAACGCATGCAAACTAAGTTAAGTTCTGATTGAATATGAGGCGGAGGGGAGCATATTTACTCCCCCCGCGGCGGGCCGCGTAGAGCCCATCCAGCCACAGCACCCCCAGCCTGTACATTTGCACAACCACCGGAGCCAACCCGAAAAAGCTTTTACGGCTCAGCGGTGGCTGCCAGGGGGCCAAGGGCCGAAGAGGCTCGACGTTTCCCACCATTGTGATGAATATTTTCTCTCCGCTGGACCGGCTTAGCCGACCAGTAGAGAGGTCCGCGCCCAACGCGCTGAGCGCGTGGGTAAAGTGTTTTGCACGCGCCTGCCGCGGACGGAGTCACGCGGGCCACGCTCAGTTGAGGTCCTCGAACAGATTGGGGTCGTTCTATAAATAGTGACCAGGCGGCGTGGGAGGAGGCGGATTTTATGGCGCCGATCCTCCCATCTGTACGTCTACGCCGCGAGGCGTCCGAGACCGCCCTCTTTCTCTGTCAACCAGTGCCGCAGAACTTCCTGAGCTCCGCGCGGATTTCTTGGATCGGCGCTGGGTCCCCCGTTTCTTGCGCGCGGAGCGCGTCAGGGGCAGCGCCGAGGGCCTCGCCAGTGGGGCCCAGCGCCGATCCAAGAACTCCTCGCGGACCTCCGAGAGATTACGTCTGCAGTGGAGGCCAGTCCACAAGGGACCTTCCGCGAGAAACCCAACCCCGAGGCCCCAGGACGTCCCCAGTGATTCTTGGTGCGGCCACGCCACGCTCCCCACAACAAGACCATCGAAACCGCAGAAACCCAGGGCACCCTGGAGGCAAGCGTGAGGGGCAACGATAGGGGGGAACTGGCATAGGGGTGGATGCATCGACCTGGAATCAGCGATACATCGTCGATTGATCGGCGGTAGGCCTCTGATAGTGAGTGCGTACCTTCCTGGGCAGGTTGGGGCTATCGGGCCCCTATCGGCGATCAATGGGCGATTGGGGGTCGATGCATCCCCCCCCTATGCCTGTCCCCCTATCGTTGCCCCTGAAAGCGGGGTGCCTCTTGGCAGGGGCCCCCGCTGCCTGCCGCTCTGGACCCTCGACCTCTGCCGGGCGGCGCCGCCCCGCGCGGGCCGCGGCCGCAGCGAGGCGGCGGGGGTGGGGCTCCGTCGCCGTGGCCGCCGGCAGCGTGTCCTGCAGGTGCTTCGCCGCGGCCTCGGCCTCCGCGCCCCGGGGGGTGGGGGGTGGGCCCTCCGCGAATTTCGTGGAGCAGAGACCGACCGTCCTGGCTTCCTATAGGCCTACCACGCAGTGTTCTCAGAACCCCAGAATGTCCCAAAAACAAGAACAACGTTCTCAGAACATAACACCGATGTGCTCAAACAAAACAGCCCCAGCCAAAACTGTTCTAAGACAACTTCTTGCTGACCACAGCAGATTATTGGAACATTGTTTGGTAGGCCTATAGGCACGCCAAGACGCTTCGCCACTGCTTGATTTTGAGCCTCGACCCTCCGCTACATCATCTGGCCTTGTTTTCACGTCTGCGCGTCGGGGCCTGGCCGCCTGGCCAGTGGTGGGCGCTAGCCCGACTTTCGGGGCTCATGACACGGGGGTCCACGCCAACGGGGGTCAGCCAGAGCGCCGGCTCCTGCAGGATGCTGCAGGGCCACAATCTGTCAACAGCATGCGTGTCGTTGGTTATGTTGGCATTCTCGCCCTTTCACTTCCCGATGGGCTTCTGAGGCCTCACGATGGCCAGGAGAGCCCAAAGAGGGGCCCAGAATGACTCCAAGATGGCCCCAACAGCCAAGATAGCCCCAAGAGGGCTCCCAAGATCCGGAGAAGAGGGAGTCCCAAAGGCCTCCAAAATCGTCCCGATAGAGCCCCAACATGACTCAAACAAACTCGCAAGAGGCCTCATAGCGAAAGACCCACGAACGCATTTACTAATGCCTCCCAGGCCTGCTCAAGTTTATCCGGAGCTTCGGTTCGATGGCTGCTCCTCCCGTTCCACTGCTTGCGTCTACGCTTCCCTGATCAAGACACATCGCCTGGGCATCGTTTCTGGATAGGCTGATAGGGAAATTGCGCGAAGCGGCAAGAATGGACCTCAGGAGGTTCTGGCCCATACACATATTACGGGGATAAGCACCAACAAACATAGAACGGTCGATGCTGTGTGGCATACAGGAACGCCCGTTCTGTTGTTGCGTGTTCGTCGGATCTGGCTAAAGGGTGACGCTCTTGGCGATCTCGGTGTTCCAAAGGACACTCGGCGAGGCTGCTGGAAACCGCCCTGGGGTCCGAAAGCGCCTGGAAACCCCCAAAAATCCCGGAGACGTCCGAACACCTCCAGGAGACATCCGACAGCCTCCGAGACCTCTGCAGTCGACAAGCAATCTTGCAGCCTGAAAGTTTGCGCGCGGGCCTTCAAATTGTTCAACACCCCAAGGGGCGAAAAACTCCTCATTGGTCCAGTGGTTTCCCCTCCCCCCCCCATCTCCCAGGACCAGGTTGACCGCTTCATCGCCAAAACTTGAAAGCAGGTGACGGCCCAAGCGAGGTAGCGAGTTCGGCTCAGCGGTGTCCGAATCTGAGGCAAAGACAAAGGCCCGTGCTGATTCCTTGGACCGGCGCTGGACACCCTTCCCCTGGCTCGCGAAGCGTGCCAGAGGCGTCGCCGAAGTCGGCGCCGCCCAAAGAAGTTCGCGCGGGCCTTCCTTCGGTCGGGGAGCCCCTCGGTAACCCTTGGCTGACCGCGGCTCCGAGGACTGACCAAGAGCAAAGCCCTTGCCTGCCCGTGGCCCTGAGGACTGGACAAAGAGCAGGCGGTCACCCTCGGCTGACCGTAACTCAGGGGGGCCCCTCCGTCACCACTTCGGGGAGCCCCGAAGGCAGCCTCCGACGCATCTCACTTATTCTTGTTATTATTATTATGTTTTTCCTTGTTCTTCTTCTTCTTCTTTTTCTTCTTCTTCTTCTTCTTCTTTGTCTTCTTCCAATCCTGCCACTGGCCTGCCTTGCCCCACGACTGGATCCCCTGGCGGCGCGGGGACCTCGAAGCTTGCGGGTGTCGTTTGGGCGAAATGGGCTCTAACAAAGAGCAGGATGAGGAGGAGGATGAGATGAGATGAGACCAGTCGCGAAGCGAGTAGCAGGAGGAGGAGGAGGAGGAAGAGGACGAGGAGGGCGCGGAGGGGGCACGGCGGAGCGCGGCCGGTGGCTGGGCCTGCTGCCGGGCCTGCGCCTCCATCTGGAAGGTGGTCTGTCCGCGCGCCCGCGGGCGCGGCTCGGTTCGTCTCGGCTCCGCTCGGGCTCGGGCTCGTGCTTGCGAAGCGGCCGGGCCGCTTCTCGCCACCCCGCCGTCGCCGCCACCCCGCCGCCGCCGCTGCCATCTGTCAGTGCAGATCTTTTTGCTCGGACCGCGCGGCGGTCAATCAGCGGGTGCAGTCCCAGGGCCCTAGGGACTAGGGCCAAAACGGCGGCGGGCAGCGCGCACGCCACAAACATGAAAAGTATGTGCATCATGCTTACAATGGCGGCACGGGCGGCAGAGGGGCAGGGGAGTGCCCTCTTCACACTGGGTGAGAACAATGCTGCCCCGATGCCGCCTCCCACAAGCGTGAAACGCTGCATGCGGTCACCGCCTGCACCGGCCCATAGGCCGAAACACCTCAAGCACAAGTGCGGCCTGAGGATCAAAATATGGAATATGAATGTCCAGACTCACTAATCCAGACTGTCATCTCGATGTGCATGTGCACGTCACCGTAGCCATCACCAGGTCCATGCAGCGGCTGCAACAGGACCTCGCGGGCTCGCAGGCCCTGAAACGGCGGCCCGACGCTGGGCCTTCCGCTCCTTGGCTCTCTCACGCTGTCCGCGGCGCAGCCGCAGACGGTGTGCCACCTCATCCTCCTGTTCAGCAGTCGGCAACATGCTGAACAGTCCGTGGCGGAGGAACTGCAATAGCACCTCGTTAGGCTGCACGGCCTTCGTCAGCACGTCCGCCAGCATGTGGCTATTGGGCAGCCACTTGAACTTGATGGCCTCCTGCTCGATCAAATCCTTGGTCACCAACAAGTCGATGAGGGTCTGCCGAGACACCGGCATCGAACCGATCTTGGACGCATGATCGTAGAGCGACTTCGCATCCGTCACAAGCGCCCCCGGAACCTTCAGCACCAGCCTCCAGTCCCCTTGCAAGGGCGGCTCCCCGTGCAAGACTGCCTCGATCAGCAGCCTGAGGTAGAGCTGCCGATCCAAAGCAACGGACATAGCTGCAGACTCTGCGGCCATCGTAGATCCAACAACTCGTGTAATAGTACTACTCTGGCACTCCACTAGACAACGCACAGCTAACTCCTTCAACACTCGGGTGTCCGTAATCATACTCATGAATCCCATCTGGCTCTTACAGCCGGGTTCCTTCGCAAACGAAGCGCCCATGAGCGTGAGCACCTGCAAGCGCTCGATGTCCACACGGCGGATCCGGAGAGTCGCAAGACCTCTCTTGTCGTAGTCCTGAAGCCGGTCGATGATGTCATTGAGCACTCGCAGGTGCAATGACCTCCGATCTTTCGGATCCTTCTGTGCGAGCGCCGACGCACTGTACGCGAGCTGCGGCACCACGCGTGCGACAGGCCAGCGCACCTTCTGGAGCAAGCTCCAGAAGTCGCGGTGCTCTTCGGGAGTCATCTCCCGCTCTCGTCCTCCCCCCTTGCAAGGGGGTGCTTTGTCAGCTTGCCGATGTACTCGTGCATGCTGATCTCGATGTGATCGGGGTGGCGCCACCACTCCTCCCCGAGATAGGCGACTGCCTCCTTGTCATTGCCCTCCTTCCAGTGCTTGATGTTGAAACGCCTGTTGATATTCGCCTTTACCTTCTGGTACTGGGGGTCGCGCGGGTCCCCAAACAGCATGCCGTCGTCGACGTGCAACGTCAACATAGCGATCAACTTGCCGGTCACCCGGTAAACGAAGACGGCCCGAGCACAGCGCAGCTCCACAAAGCCAACCTCGTCCGTCAGCACCTGGCGGGCTCGGAGATACCACATCCGAGGCGCCTCCGTCAAACCGCACGCCCCTTTCAGCAGACGAAACAACGCGCAAGGCCGCACAGCTGGCCATCCAGCGCCGTCGACGGCTGGAAGCCCGTCCTTAGGAGCCCTCACGTACAGCTCCCGCTCCAGCTTCAGCCCGGACAGGAACGCAGTCGCTACGTCGAAGCACTCGAATGTCCAATCCATCGCCATTGCGATAGACGCACACACCAGCACGGCCAAAGGGGAGGTAGTAGGCGAATCCGCCCTGAATAGACCAAGCTGCGGGTCGAGATGGCCAGGGATAATCAAGCGCGACTTCGCCTCCAACTCCGGCCCTCGCCCCCGGTTCGTGCGAACCGAACGCATGGGCACCGAGATGATCTTATCCTTCGGAATGCTCCTCTCCTCCTCCTCGGTGACCAGCTCGACCGTGTCGTTGGCGATCCATTGCCGCCACTCGGCGGCGTCGGCCTCGTCGAACTTAGCCTTCTCGTGCTGGTCGAAGCGACGTGGGTCTAGCTCCTTCGCGTTCTGCTTCATCACGAGTGCGAACACGTCGTGCTCGTGCCGTGCCTCCTGCAGCCATGCGTCATACACGGATGACATGTTGATCCACTCCTCGTAAGTCAGCGGCTGCCGTACAAGACCCTCCGGAGTATCCAAATAGTACGCCCCCTGTGCCTGAGCATCCGGCTTGTCGTGGTAGAAGAGCATGAAACCAACCCAGCTGTCCTCCATGCGCTCGTTGGCACGGCTCGCGCCGTCGTCCTTGTAGGCACACTGGCCCGTGGCGGAGAGCATCGCCGACAGGCGATTGCACTCCCAGTGACGGTCGTGATCATAGAGTCGCCGCCGTGGCTCTCGATGCACACGTACTCCTCGCACGACCTTCTGAACGAGCGTGGGGACGCCATCCAAGGCATTCTGGTCGAACCACTCCTGGGGCCCCGAGCGCGCCACAGCGTTCATGGCCACCTCGCGGAGGGCCAGCAAGCCACTCGTAGGGGCAGCCTGCAGACGTGATCTCTCAATGCAACTCGGCACGTCATCTACCAGAAACTTCCGCTTCCGCTCGAGCTCGAAATCGTCTCTGGGAATCGGCGGCTCCGGAAGGGCCGCCGGAGCCCGATGCTCCCGGAGAAGCTTCCGGGTACGTCCCAGAGGACATCCGGCCTGGAGGGGAACGAGACCGGGCCCTCCTCGGAGGCGGAAGCTGCGGCAACTGCTCCTGATCAGGTGGCTCCTCCTCCTTAGCCTGCGCCTCAATGACGTTCAGGGCCCTCAGATCCACGCGAGGCTGCCTGGACCCCTCGAGCTCACTATGTCGTTCGCGTTCCTTCTTCAGGAACGTCTTCTTCACCCTCTGGACCTTCGCCCTGGGCGTGACGTCCACGATGTCGTGGTAGGCGCGATCGTCTCGCTGCTGCGTCAGCCGCACGTCCGTCTGGATGGACTCCGCGGCCGCGGCCTCCTGGGAGGAGGCGTGCCGGAGCTGCTCACGAGCAAGGAGTAGCACGTGACCACGCCATGATAAGTAATACCGGCTGTTGGATTCCTTCGCGATCACAGTCGCAGGACCCCGCCGCCTTTCAGGATCTTGCCGACGACGTCCCTTGAACGGATTCGGTGCCCAGAAATGCACCCGCGATCCTGGGCGCAGATCGCCGACGACCGTCGGCGCCTGTCGCAGCAGCGCCCTCCGCACCTGGTCCGTCGCGTCGCGCTCCAGCAACATCATCTTGGCTGCGGTGCGGATTTGGGGCGAACGCCAAGCTATGCCCTTAGCGCCGAGGACCGACATGAGAACCTCGTCGTCGTCCCTGTTGGTCACCTCCGTAAAATTCAAGATCCGCCCGAAGACAGCCTGCTCCGGGGTCAACCCGTTGCGGCTGATCGTCGAATTCTTCGCGTTGACGATGGCAGCCAGGGCCACGGTAGACATCGACTTGCCCTCGACGTGGAACTCGTGCACCACCTTGCCCCAGATAGTGCCCAGCAAACCTCCGCGGCGCTCTGCCAGGCCGCGCTGCCATGCTGCATGGGCTCCCGTCGTCTTCGTGTTAATACCGAACTGCTCCATCAGCGCATTGAAGTAGCCCTCGAACTCGCCGCCCTGGTCGATCACGATGTTCTCTGGCGCGCCGTAATGCTTGAACCACTCGTTCATGATCTGGCGCGCTACGTGCTTGGCCGTCCTATTCTTGAGAAGGCATGCGCAGTGCCATCCCCTGCCAGCGTCCACCATGCTGAGGACCGCCAGCTGCTCCTTGGCCGCCTCCCGTAGGTGCTTCACGTCGATCACAACCGTCACATTGAAGCCGAATGGTCGCACGTCCGCCGTCCCTTGCACTGGACGGGGCGGGGCCTCCGACTCCGCACAAGTCGGGCACTGCCAATGCTTCGCGTATGCCAACGCGTTGGGCGTTGCACCGCCGAGACGCAGCATCTTGATTAACGTCGGTCGGCTGGGGCGTCCAAGACCGCGATGGGCCTTCCGCACGGCACGTCGCGTACTCTGGGGAATCTTCGTCATGATGTCCTGCCGCACCACCTCTGGAAGCTCCATCTCTTACCAGGAGGCTGCAACCTCCTCCTCCTCCGCGGGGTGCTGCATGGACTCCTCCTTCACCGTCTTCTGCAATGCCTCGCGAATCTCGGCTCGAATCTCCTGCGGTGTTTTGCCCCACTCAGGTCTTTCCGAAATGTTCCCGGGAGCCTCTCCGGGACCATGCTCCGCGGGCTCGGGTCCATAACTTCTGGGCTCCTCCGCGGGGTCCGGGAGGTGCGCCGCAGGGAAGCTCGAGGTCTCGCACTGCCAGGCCAAATAATCCGGGGCACTGGTCATCGCAGCTTTCGCGACCTCCTCCGCGCAGCTTCCGCGCGCAGCAGTGCAAACCTCAGGGTTTGCCAACGCCCGCGTGGTGTTCTGGAGGCAGATCGTGTCCTCGAATGCTGGGTTCGACTTCGTTGCATTCATGGGTGGCTGGCTCCAGGCTGTCGATTGCGCGTGGTCCATTACCATGGCTGCGCGTCCTCCTGCAGCTTGCCACTGCATCACCTCGTCCGTGAACGAGAGCAACATGCGATGCCCAGTCCGCTCTCGACGTTGCCGGCGCACTCGCATGGGCCTTCGCTGGTCGACACTCTGCAGTCGACTCCACGCCGTACGAGGCGGGGACAAGGCCACGAAGTCTGGATCAACTGCAACTAGGTACGCTCG